GTGTGCCTACCTCTGTACAAAGGCTTTGCTGCCCAGTTGCCCTGGAGCAATGATATTGGGGATATGCTGTCTGTAATAGTCTTGCCACGGTCCCAATTCAATTAGGTGATTGTGCTTTCATTGTTTGTGCCAAGATTCCCTGCTGTGGGTGAATCCCGTTAGTACCAGTTTAGCACATGTAGGAGGCCCTCAATAAATGTTTGCTGGATTGGAATGAAAGCTTGAATATACTTGGGGAGTGACTTAAGTCCTTGGCTGACCTCTGCTAGTGAGAGCCCTTGGATGAAGTATAGAAGAGCGAAGAAGGAATTTTACATTTCACAATGCCCTCTGAAACCTCCCATAATCCTCCTGTACTTCAGCTTTATTTCAAATTGATTCAACATCAAGGGAAAGATGGGATTTGAGAAGGGAGACTTTCCCCCAAAGTAATATTTCTCTTCTAGGTATTATGACAGACTCTAAGGAAAATAAATTGAATCTAGCCAAGACAGTGACCTGGAGGAAAGCCGATAGAGAAAGGGAGACATTTGTGGAGGAAGTTTTGACAAGAGCTAAGAGGGCTAGGTGGACAGGGAGCCAGGGAAGAGGGTTCTGGAGGGAGAAGGCTGTGGAGGCGGCGCCTTCTGTTCTCCTAAGATGCTGTGCCTGTGACTGTGTCTCATCGCTCCAAACACCTGCGTGTCACACCTGGCAGACCTTTCAGACTGACTAAAATCTAGCACCCTCTAATTCAGAGCACAAAAACCCACTGCTGTATTCGAAAAAGAAAAGTGCTTTTTCAGGGATCAGAAGAGACTTCTCTAATGACCTCTTAGTTCTCCGATGATCTGAATTGACCAGACCAGGATTTGAAGGGGTGGTAAGCGGCAATTCAGAGAGTTCCAACCTCATCCCTCTTTGCACTTTCTTCTCCACGGTCTGCTCTGATGTTTGCTTTTTTTTTTTTTTTTTTTCCTATTTCTGTCTTTGCGTTATAGCATAATATATCTCAGACAATTGTATGGGTTTTCTGCTGCTGCTGTGACAAAGGAGCACTAACTTGGTGGCTTAAAATAATACCCATTAATTATCTCACAGTTCTATGGATTAGGAGTCAAAGTGGCCTCTGCTGGGCTTTGCTTAGGGGCTCATGAGGCTAAAATCAAGATGTAGGCCGGCTGGGCTCTTACCTGAAGGCTCTGGGAAATAATCTTCTTCTTCTTCTTCTTGTTCTTGTTCCTCCTCCTCCTCCTCTTTCTTCTTCCTCTTTTTCCCCTTCCTCCTCCTCTTCTTTTTCTTCCTCCTCTTCTTCCTCTTCTTTGCCTTCACCACTGCCTCCTCCTCCTCCTCTTCCTCTTCATCTCCTTGTCCTTTTCCTCCTCCTCTTCTTTCTTCTTCTCCTTCTCTTTCTTTCTTCTTTTTAATGGAGACAAGATCTTGCCATGCTACGCAGGCTGGTCTCAACTCCTTGGCTCAAGTGATCCTCCTTCTTCAGTCTCCCAAAGTGATGGGATTACAGGCATAACCACTGCCCCCAGCTGGAATAAGCTTCAAAGCTCCCTGAAGGTGGCAGAATTTAGTGCTTTGTGGTTGTAGGACTGAGATCCTGTTTCCCTGCTGGCTGTCAGCCCTGCTGCTCTCTATTCCCAGGAGCTGCTGCATTTCTTCTCATGTGGTCTCCTTCATCTTCAAGCCAGCGACGGTGCATCCAGTCTTTCTCATGCCTCAGTCCTTCTGACTTCTCCCACCTTCCTCTTCTACTGCAAGCTGAAAAAAGTTCCCAGCTTTTAGGGACCCATGTGACAAGATTAGATTCACCTGCATGATCTTCCCTTTTGAAAGTCAATGGTGCCTTATAACATGACACGTTGTGATGTGTCTCGAACTTCTGGCTTCAAGCAATCTCCTGCCTTAGCCTCCCAAAGTGCTGGGATTACAGGCGTAAGTTACCATGTCTGGCCACATGTGATATTTCATCACATTTCCAAGTTCAAGGCACTAGGGTGTGGAATCTTGGGGGGGCTGTTCCTAGAAATCCTGCCAACGACAGCAACCACTGGATGTGATGGATCAGATGGAAGAAGTTGCCTGTGAAGGGATGTCCATATGAGCCACAGCCATTGGAAGGAAAACACAAGACTCATCTGTGTTCATTTGGTGGCTGTGTCAAATCATTTGCCCTAACCCAGGGCCCCATTTTAAGTGCTTGCATGGTTAGCCGCTTCAGGAAAACTTGGTACATCTTTCAAACTTTAAAAAAGAGTGACTGGCTGTGAGGTGGATAGATGGATTACTTACTTATTTATCACTTGTTTTATGTTAAACATTCAGCTCTCTTTTTAACCTAGTTTTTGCTAAATAACTTCATTTTTTACATCACTTTTGCTTGGTGTAACTAATGTTATGAAAAGTTAATTATTTTTAGCCAAACATAATGAAACCAGGCAATAAAATTCAGGAAAGAGGCTGTTTTATTTACCTATGGCCTTGGCCAGATACGGTGGCTCACACCTGTAAATCCCAGCAGTTTGGGAGGCTGAGGCAGGCAGATCATCTGAGGTCAGGAGTTCGAGACCAACCTGGCCAACATGGTGAAACCCCATCTCTACTAAAAATACAAAAATTAGCCAGACATGGTGGTGGGTGTCTGTAGTCCTAGCTACTCAGGAGGCTGAGGCAGGAAAATTGCTCGAACCTGGGAGGCGGAGGTTGCAGTGAGCCGAGATCACGCCATGGCACTCCAGTTGGAGTTACAGAGCAAGACTGTCTCAAAACAAACAAACAAATAAATAAACAAACAAACCTGTGGCCTTGTCCTAATCACTAAGTTTCCAAAGCAGGTGGAACAGTGCGGCGTGTGCTGGGCGGAGGACAGAGCACTGGGGCACCTGCAGAGGGTGGTGGCTCTCGGCTGCACAGTGGCATCCTATTCATGCCTCACTAGACCCAACTATTCAAGCTCTTGTCCCTACATGTTATGCACTTGGTGAAGGGAGAGACCGGTGCCAGTTTCCCAAGAGGGGAGAAAAAACAACTGGAAAAAAGGAAACGGCAGATTGTCAGTGAGATAGCTTTTGTTTCAATTTTCCCTCCTTTGTTTTGCTTTGAAGCCCTCGGTGAATTACTGTGCTTTCCCTTTCGGGGTTTTAGATCTGTACGTTAACCTGAACTACCTGTTATGTTTTTCCCCCTAATCCTCATCTGGAAAATACTCCCACACCTGACAGTCTGGAGAGGAGGAAGGCCCACTGTCCACTTCTGGACTGGATGCCCAGGAGGACTGGCATGGGCCTGTGGCTGGAGGCCCAGACCGGATGTCAGGAAAGCAGAGGCCCCTTCCCAGGCCTGTGCACCACGCCTCTGCAGTGACTCCAGGTCTCCGTTCAACTGCACTAGGCTTCAGTGTGCTCTTGTGATAAGTGGAAATAGTAAAAGGTCAGCCTTTGTCACATTGGAATCCCAGCTCTGCTATGACCTTGCCAAGTGACCTTGGACTCAATTGGTATTCCTGTCCCTGAGCCTCAGTTTCTCTTCTGCACTCTGGGAAAGAAATATGTACCTTCTCATGTGAGAAGCCAGCCAATAACAAATAATCATATGAAGTTTTGGATTTCAGCCTTGGTCAACCTCCCAGGGCAAGCAGGATGTGACCCATGACCCAGAGACAAGGGGGTGGGGAGGGGGGCTGGGCAGGAGTGGAAAGGGGCCAGTTGTGGTGTCAAGGATGAGCCATTGGGCTCTGTTCCTGTTTCCTGATGGATTTGGGCAATACGGGGGAACCCTGTGTGCAGGCCTGAGTGTTTCCTGGCACCAGCAGGCCTGTGGAGGAGAGTGGCTGCCGGAGCAGCAGGAGTGACACTCACAGCCTGGGTAGGGGGACAGGCCCAGTGAGTTGAAAGGGCAACGCTCACTAATAGGGCTGCTACCTGGGGTCTCTGAGTGGGATGTGAGTCAGCTCAAGTATCCTGTCCTGGTACTTCCCTCAGTTGCATTTTCTTTTTTCTTCTTTCTTTCTTTTTTTTGTTGATTTAGCCGGTAAGTTGTTACATACTCCTTAGATTCTGACTCTCATGGCTATTGTCTGGCTTTTTCTCAAATTTTATCTGTGTATTTTTACTTCTAGCCCTGGTGGCTTTGATTAAAAATATGTGTGTATATATATCTATCTCATATATATGTAACAGTGTTCTTTTATCTCACTATTAAATACAATATATGTATATATATGTGCATGTATATCTATATATACATGTTTTTTTTTAACAGAGAGATAAAAGAACATCAAACATCCAGACTTGGAGTCAGACCAACTGGATCCTGGAATTAAGATTTGATTTTGCCAGTTCCATGACCTTGGCTAATTAATTGATCTAACTTCTGTGCCTCAGTGTTCTGGTTTCTAAAATGGGCATGGTAATATCTGCCCTGGCACGCTCTCTGGTTTGCTGTGAAGAGTACACACAGGCCAGGCATGCTGGCTCACGCCTATAATCTCAACACTTTGGAAAGCCAAGCTGGGTGGATCACTTGAGGCTAGGAGTTTGAGACCAGCCTGGTTAACACGGCAAAACCCCATCTGCACTAAAAATACAAAAATTAGCTGGGTGTGATGGTACGAACCTGTAATCCCAGCTACTCAAGAGGCTGAGGCATGAGAATTGGTTGGATCTGGGAGGTGGAGGTTACAGTGAGCCAAGATCGTGCCACTGCACTCCAGCCTGGGCAACAGAGTGAGATTCTATCTTTAAAAAAATAGTACATATATCACAATACTTGGGTGCATTTTGTAGGCCTTAAAGTGCATGCTGTCACCATTTGGGCTTTGTTTCCTTGTAGGGCACTTTAAGGACCAGCTAAATGAAAGAGACAGTTGAGTCCAGATATGGAAAGACCCTTGGCACCCTGTCTTGTGGGGGAACAAGGTCAAGTGCAGGAGGAGCTGGGATCCATGAGAGCCGATGCCCCGGCCCCCCACCACCCCCCTTCCCCGATTTCTTGTACTAATGGATGTCTATGTTTCCACTCAGAATTCTCCTTCATTTGTCAGGTACAAGGCCAAGATACCAAAATAGCACTTGTGTAGGACTGCAACTATTACTGCTCAACTGTTTCTGGGCTTTATTTTTTTCACACAGCTCCACCACTTTCAAAGTGTCTGCGGACGTGTGGAGGATGTAACGCAGACCGGGTGACGGTGCTCAGAAACCATCCAAACATTACGCATCAAGACAAGAATTTTAGATGTTTCAGGGAGTGGGCGCGAGTCCCGACTTCTCTGGCCAGTAGATTGCCTGATGCCAGCCACATCAGTGGGGGCTCAGACGTTCTCTGAATGCTGTGGGTCACCAGCTTGTGCAGGACAGTTCGGCCAAAAGGGCAGATGTTCAACTGTAAAGGAAGTATTGAGAATACGCGTCTGTAAAGTGCAAATGGATGCCGTCGGCTAGCAGTTAGAAATCCATCACTTACACTAAGCAGCAAACTATTTTTCATACATATACGGGGGTCTTCTAAGAGACACGGTTATTGAGTTTCATGTGCTTGGAAAGAACTGCATCTAAATAATGCTGGAAACACCGAAAATGTCATTTTGAGAGGACACAGTGACCCTGCAGGACAGGCTTCGGCTTTAGAGGCAACTCCTCTCCCCCATTCTGGCATTTCTCCTTGTGTAATCCTCAACAGGTCCTAACCAAGGTGTCAGTCACCTCATCTTCAAAGCGGGAGAAATTATACTGAACTTAAAGGGTTGTTTTGAGGAGTTAAGATAATGTGTGAAAATAGCTGATCCCAGGTCCAGGGGTGGTAGGAATTCTACCTGGAACCTTTTGTTATTAAAAAAGTAAAACAGCACATATGGTGTTTATGATTTAGCATTTTACGCTCTTGTCAGAATTTTTTCCAGTCTTATATGGAAGATGATAGGGATACTTAGTAGAACTTCTGTTACTGTGCTTACTGGGTATCATAGCTGATTTCACCTTGTGGGGCAGCTATCTTAAAAATTAAGCCTGAAAATAAAAATAGTAGAACTTGTGATCTGTGCCAAGAAGTGAGCTGCATATTCTACGTCTATAAACAATCAATATTCCAAACAACCGTAGGCCATTGTCCCCGCTTTGCAGATGAAGGCACTGGGTCTGGAAAAGTTTGGGTCACCTGGCCAAAGCCACAAGGAGATGACAATGGAGGGCTTTAGGATAGCAGAGATCACATTCTCAGTCACTAAAGTACACTGAGTTTGCTCAAAAGCGCCTGTGACTGTAACATCATACCTCAGAGTGGGTAAGGTTGTGACAGTCATACTTGGCGTGGGGAAGACTGTGGAGAAGGCAAGAGGGGGCGGGAACTGTTGGTTTTGTTGGGACACAGCCATGGTCATTTTGCTCCTTGGGTCCCAGTGCTCAGTGGACACCACCCTCAGCAGATGCCCTGTCCTGGAACCACCAACTCCCCTCCCATTTAGTCCATGCTCATCTCCAAACCCACCATCTCTTGGTTCACTTCTGGGGCATCATATTGCTCTTGGAACCTGAGCGAGCTCCAGTTATCTTGAAGTCAAGCCCAAGCCTGGGAGGGTGCGTGCAGAGTCCTCTGCTCCCTCCTCATCTTCCACCTCCCGTCAGGCCCTCTAAAAGGTACTCCCTTGGGTCACCCCGACCTGTGCTCCTACCCATGTGCCTTCCCCAGACAGCACCATGCCCGTGCTGGACTGTGGCCAGCCCAGCCAGCTACGGGGGAAACCACGAGGCAGTTCTGGGACAGGAATGTGGTGGCCGGTCCTGGCTCAGGGCACAGCTGCTCAGTGGAAAGGCCGTGGGCTTTTTACCCGCCCCTGTTTTCTTTCATCTATTCAGGAGTTTTTGAAATGGAATGGCAGGTGGCGGGAACACAGCAAGTAATCCAACACAACCCTGCTCTGGAGAACTTGGACTTTACTGGAGGAGACAGACTCAGAAATGAAGACCGAGAATTTGTGGGACGGGTCCGGGCGGCCGAGTCTACTGAGCACCCTGCGCAGGTTCCAGGGCAGGGAGGAGGGTGAGCGGAGGAGGGAGGAGGGTGAGCAGAGGAGGGGAGGCTCAGGAGGAGGGAGGAGCTCCTGTAAAGGCTCAGAGGCGAGAGGGAGTTGGTGCTTTCACAGAATTACATGCACAGCATCGTGACTGGAGCACACTGTGTGGAGAGATGGCAAAACCCCATCTCATTCTGATAGACCTGTCAGCCATGGCCCCGACTCACACTCAGATGAAACGCTAAGACAGAACAGCCAGTCCTTACACGTGTGAACACAGTTAAAATAAACCAGGAGGGGCTGGGGACACACCTCAGGGCCAGCAAGGGTAGGAAGGTGATGCCGCTACCGCTCTGGCACTGAAGGGGACAGGGGAGGGTCACGGTTATTAACATCCAGAGAAAGCTGCCGCTGCACGTAGAGGGGCTGCGTGCAGGAGCTATGGGCAGGACCTTGGGAAACGCACACAGTCACTGCTAGCCCCTTGCCCAGTGGGGAGAGTGAGAGCAGGGTGGGGAAGGGTCTAGAGTGTATCTGCATGGAGCGGATTATACCCGGCGTGGTAGACATCCTCAGTTTACTCCCCCAGCTTCCATTAACTAATCGTCTCTATCGCAGACCACAAATATTCTATGAGGAGTTGTGACAGGGTGCAAAGGGGTAACTGTAAATTCAAAAACAGAATCCAGACCACAGAAAACATTAACTAAAGGTCAAGCAGGGAAAAGGGGAGAAGAAGACTGGACAATAAAACAAAAATGTGAGATCATTTGGACTGACACAGTTGCCATTATTGAGCCAGAAATATGATGCTGAGCTTCCTGGTGGCCAAGTTTTAAAGGAAGATGTGGTCACATACATAGTTTTCCTTGTCAAAGAAGTGAAAATATACCAATTTGTGCTGAAAACCAGACTTTTCCTAGACCTTAGCATGAAGAGGAATTTTTTCTGCAGGGCAGAATCATTTTAACAGGCTGTGACCCTAGGAAGATTCCTTTAGAAAATTCAGGTCTAGTCCACACATCTGGCTTGTATCTGTTGTTCGCTGGTAGTGCTTCCTGATGGTGTCCACACCCTGCCCCTCTCCCATGATTGCATGCTCCTCAAGATCTGGGACCACACTTTTCTACCTGGGTGTGTCTTTTCTACCTCTCATTGAGGCCGTATTTTGAAATTAAGGCCGGTAAAAACATTTTGAGTGTCATAGTTTTTTCTGGCATTGCAGAAATAACTTCTTAGGGACTGTGAGGGATACTGAGACCAAGCACAGCTGCATCCAGTACCCTCTTAACGTCCCCCTGCAGGGTGGGTTCTCTAGGAGTTGGAGGTACAGGGGCAGCATCTATGTGGTAGGTGTTTCCAAGGACAGCAGTGTCCTGGAGCTATGCAATGAGATGGGAGGGAACAATGACAATTCATCCTATATCTCAGTCCTACTTAGTGAAGTATTGTTTAGACCAATGATGTTCAGCATTTGGGGGTCAAAAACTCTCTCAAAGGACGATAAAAACTAAGGACTCTTTCCCCAGAATAAAGCAAAAGCACACAATTTTGGATATAGCTTCAGATAGACCACAAACTTCTCAGAGTCCTACCATGGACTCATGGAGGATCCAGGACCCAGGTTAGAATCTTTGGTTTAACTTATGGTCCTCACAGCATTTCTTACAAAGGATTTTTCTTCTGGACTTTTTGTGGCCTTGTTAGGGATAGAAACAAAGTTATATCTCAGGTATGAAGTACATTCCATGGGGGTTGGGAGGAGTGGGAAAATTCCATAATCAGCCTCTTACTCCCCTCACCTTATACAAATACTCTACAGATAGGATGAAACAATTATGACGAACGGATTATTAGCCAGAAAAATGAAAGTCATTCCGACACATGCTAACACATGGATGAAAGTTGAGGAACCTTATGCTGAGTTATGCTGAAATAAGCCAGTCACAAGAATACAAATACTGTATGATTCCCCTTCTATGAGGTACCTAGTGAAGTCAAATTCATAGAAACAGAAAGTAGAGGATGGTTGTCAGTGGATGTGAGGAAGGGATCTGAGTTTGTTTAAGGGGTATAGAATTTCAGTTTTGCAAGACAAAAAGGGTTCTGGAGATTGGTTGCACAACAGTGTGAATAGAATTAATGTCACTGGACTCTATACCTAAAAATGATGAAGATGGCAAATTTTATATGTCTTTTACTACAATTAACACGTACAGACAAACACACACACACACGAGTTTAAAACGACAAAGCCAGGTCAGACATGATGGCTCATGCCTGAATCCCAGAACTTTAGGAGGTAGATTGCTTGAGCTCAGGAGTTTGAGATCAGCCTGGGCAATATGGTGAAACTGTCTCTACCAAAAATATAAGAAATTAGCTGGGCATGGTGGTGCACACCTGTGGTCCCAGCTACTTGGGAGGCTGAGGTGGAAGGGTCACTTGAGTCCATGAAATTGAGGTTGCAGTGAGCCGAGATCACACCACTGCGACCCTGTCTCAAAACAAAAGAAGAACCCCAAAACAATTAAAAAAAAAAAAACCTTCAAAACAGTGAAGCCCGAAGAGTGCAGCTTGCCCAACAGGGGAGTGTGTGGCGTGAGGAGGCGCAGCCCCATTGCCACTTGAGTGCACTGTGGCCTGACCCAAAGCCGTGAGTCTCTGGGGAGCCAGCTGCTTCCCCTGCAGGGGAAACAGCTTCTTGAGCTGGGACCAGTGATGATGGCACTGAGAACCGGCACCTGCAGTGCCTTAAGTAGCTTTGGAATGGTTCTGCTTGGGTCTTTGAGCCTGTGGTTGAGGACTTTCCATTTCTGCACTCAATCTTGTTCTTGACATACACTTTTCCTGTAAGAGAGTGACTTGTGACGATCTTCTAGAATGCTATTCCATTACTAAAGAAAAACTCTGGCCTCATATATGATTCATCATGCAGGAACTCTTCATTTGATAGGACCCATCTTTTTTATAACAGGAAGTAAATATGTGTTGCTAAGCTACTATGTCCACCAAAAAAAAAAAAAAAACAAAAAAAAACATATAGTAGATTCCATTGTACTCTTTGTGCTCTGTGAGAGTTGATGATTCCTCTAAGTTAATTCAGCTCTTTTGTTCTTGACCTCTTTTACCTAGAGCTAATTAGAGTTTGGTCATAGTGTACTTAGTGTAAACAGAAAAAAAAGGCCTGAATCATAATTTCCCATGAGAAAAGAGTGGGCTTTCTTGCACTTTCTCAAAGGAATTTGAAAAGCATTTATTGGTCCACATTTTTAGTTCTGTGCCTGTTTATGTACCTATTTATCTATCAACCTATGTATCTGTCTATGTCTATCTATATTCCTATTGGTTCAGGGACCTTGCAAACATCTGATTTAATCCTATTATTGCAAAGGAAAGAAACACAGACTGCACAAGTAAGTTTTAGGAGTTGCAAGTACCTCTTTAGACCCACTGAGGCTGGGGCATCAGTTCTCTACCGCTGAGAAGAATAAGGTAGATAGAGACCATTTTAAGACGCAAATTAAGGAGTTTGTCAGAGGACAGGAAGGATTGTGTGTCAGTTATGCCATTTCCCTAAGAGAGCTGTCAAAATGAAAATGAATATTATAGCCTATATCAGATGTCCTGACCTTTAGGGCAATGAGAGGGTCCTGATCAATGGTATCGTTCTGTCTGTATATTTAATTTACAGGAGCTCAAATATGCACACACATGGGTGAGGAGGGAGCCATTTAAGTGGAGCTGGCAATTAGGCCTACAACCCAACCCAAGATCCCGCGAGAAGATGGGATGGGAGTACAGGAATCTGCTGCCCCCGCAGCTGGGCTTTCTCACAGGCTCTCAGTGTCATCTCACTCTGCTGAGTATGAGTTTAACAGTTTTGATTCCCATACAGCATGGCTCTTACATGCAACTCATCATCTTCATCTAATGCTCAGTGATTAGTTTCAATTCCAATGTAAGAGCTGGCTGTGCTGAGCTTCCTGAGCGAGATGTCCGTCTCCAACGTGGTTCGCAGTTACGGGTTTGCCCAGTCGAGCAGGGGTCATAAAGATCAGAGACAGAGAAAAAAATTATGAAGCCGTGGCATTAAGTACTAAAATGATTGTTAAGTTTAAATTTCCGCCAGCAGTGTAGAAGTGTTCCCTGATCACCGCATCCACACCAACATCTACTGTTTTGTGATTTTTTGATTATGACCATTCTTGTAAGAGTAAGGTGTTATCGTATTGTAGTTTGATTTGCATTTCCCTGATCATTAGTGATGTTGAGCATCTTTTCATATGTTTGTTGGCCATTTGTACATCTTCTTTTGAGAGTTGTCTGTTCATGTCCTTAGCCCACTTTTTGATGGGATTGTTTGTTTTTTCTCTCACTGATTTGCTCGGGTGATGGGTGCAACAGGATCTCACAAATCACCACTAAAGAACTTAATCATGTAACCAAACACCGCCTGTACCCCAGTAACTTATGGAAAAATAAAGAAAATAATAATAAAAAAGACTGTTAAGGAGACACATCAAATATGTATAAGATTTCAGAAAAGATTGAAATGGCTTTTGACTTGTGCCTGGAAAACTCAGACTATAAGTATATGCCTATGAATTTTAATGTGTTCTAACTTCCTGCCAAAGAGGTACAGATTCCTGATGAAGAGATATTTCCAAAACTAATTTCAACTCTACATGTTTTCACCAATAAGCCACCTTCTGACCCTAACTTTCATGGAAATTATGATGGTTAAGAGCATGAACTTTGAGTCAGATGTCAGATTCCAAATCCCAGCTCCACCGATAACATACTAATTCTACTAGGCCTCAGTTTCCTCAAATGTAACAATAGTTCTTACCTAATAGAGTAATTCTGTGGATTAGATGAGACAATCCCTGTTGTAGCACTTAGCACCTGCATTTAATAAGCAATGCAATAGATGTTTACTCTGATTATTCAGGAAGCAAAAGCAATCCGATGCATTGGCTCTATGCCACTGATTTGTGGGAAGAACAAAAGACTGGTTCTGTACTCTGGATCCAAAGCAATGCAAAAGTTTTAAAAACAAATTTGTTTCTTGTCTTTACAGTTTTGTCTGTTGTATTTTTTATCTCTAACTTCTGAACCATTCAGATATACATGTTACAAATGCAACTATTCATTCCATGTATTTGGTGGATATTTGTTGAGCATCTGCTATGTGCCAAGCCAGGTGCTGGTTATGCAGTGACAAGACACAGTCCCTCAATGGTGGGAGGAAACAGACACATAAATGACAGTCACAAGCCAGCACAGAGAATGGACTGATAATGGGCACCTGAAAGAACTTACGTGCAGAAAGTAGTGACTGGGTTGGGGAGGGCACCTGCTAGGAGCAAGGCATGGAAGTGAGAGACAGCAGGGGCATTGGGCAACCATGGGGAAGTCAGTTTGCCAGAATGGAATGTGCAAATCTGGGAATGGTAGGCAAATAGGCTGGAAAGAAAGGCTGATCATGGAGACTTTGACCTCCAGCCTTGAGGCCATGGGATACTGATGACTGAATATATATTTCCATTGGAAAGAAAAGAATTATAGGTTAACTCAGCAGGACTTGTGACTGTGGGTGGGAAGTGAGGGGAAGGGAAGTCCAGGATGACTTCCGGGTATCTTGCTTAGCCAACTGAGTGGTTGGTGGTGCCACTAATTTGGGGGATTTTTTTTAGAATAAAAAAGGAAGAGAGCAGGATTTGAGAGTGGAAGATGATATGCTCCTTTTGAGAAATTTTTTGGCTA